CATTAACAGTGTGGTCTCTAGTCTTTTAGAGAAGAGAGGTAAGAGGTGGAAGGAGGAGAAGGGCATCCTATGATACTGAACTGTGTGATTCTATTGATGCGCACAGAGTGGGGAGACACAACTCTAGTCCCTTCATGCAAGGGTGACTCCATAGGATGCTACAAGAGAAAGGAGCCACACTGGGGAAGTGGTTATGGCACCAACCTAAACTGAAAAATAGGCAAGAATTAATGGATAAAGAAGCTTCATACTTAGTGATTAAATCAGCTGTTGAAAGTGCTTAAAAAACTGAAGATTTAATATCATTTAAAGGCACTCTAAAGCCCCATTCAGATATTGTGTTGCAGGGATGAACGTTCCTCCTTGCAATTTTAAAAGCACAATTTACATGCATTTTTTTGTGTTGGGCATAGGGCAGCCCATTCACTTCAATGGGCTGCCCTATGCGCAGTGGACAAGCTTAGGACAATTTTTAAACATGCGCTTTGCAGTTATTGCTGCATGTTTCTGACACTTGAAAATTGTGGCTGAATCAACTGCGTCTGGGTGCCATTAAGAATAATGACACAGGTATGCGTGTCATGTGTGATGTAGAATCACAGGCAGGATTTCAACGATTCTGCACGAAATTCAAAATCAACATATGTGAACGGGGACTAAGGTAAAATGCTTGTGTAGCTTTGTCTACCATAATCTATCCATATACAGTGTGTGCCATTTTATATTGTTCTTTAAGGCTAGGTTCACACCTATGCAGTTTGCGTTTGATCCGTTTCTGCAGTGCATTTTGCGTTTTTGCACATGCATTCTTGACTCGTTTTTTATGCATTTTGCCTTTTTTTCTTGTTGCTAGGCAGATTTAAAACACATCAAAAATGCTGCAAAAATGCAAAAGAAAATGCACCACATGCATTTCTGCAGCATTTCCATTGAGGTCTATAGAAACAAAAAAGCAACTTTGTGCATTTAAAAAAGTCCCTGACCCTTTCCAAAAAACGCACCGGGTGAAAACTCAGAGATGTGAACCTGTCTCATAGGAAATCATGTTAAATGGACTGTACTGCGTTTCTGCAAAACACAAAATGCTGCAGAAAAAGCTTAGGTGTGAACCTAGGGTAAAATTGTTTATGATTTAATTTGCCTACTGCTTTTCCTAATTTACCCTGTACTCATATTTAAAACTCTTAATTATTTAACCCACACTCTCAGTGGTATGACCCACCCTTTTTAAAGTCACACATATGATTTAGGCCATACCACCACAATGCATTGAAAATACAAGTGTGTTGAGGTGTGTAGCGCCCTCCATCAACATGCTGCTAGAGAGGTTGAGTTAAATCTAGCTCTTTGACTCCTCTGTAATCATTTTAGTGGTGTGTGATTATTTTTGGCTGTCCTGGGAGTCACTGGATGCAGGTTCATCTACTTCCCCCTGCTTTCTAGTGGATTCTAGAATGTAGTGGGTTGGGAGAGGCAGATCTTTGACCTGAATATTTATGCGGTTTCAGCCAATGCCCAGTAGGTGGCATAAAAAGTCTGCTGCCTGGAACAGCAGGGTTCTTGTCCAGGAGTATTGATGGTCTGAACACCCTCCTGTTCGGTTCGCGATAGAACATTCAAACTTAAAGAAAGTTCTACCACGAACATCGAACAAAATGCAAGTCTATGGGATTCGCCTTGTCATTTTTAAGAACCCATTTTGAAGGCTCATTTGCAAGTTATCGGCCATAAAAGTGTATGGAGACTCGGGACTCGGGTACTGGCCTGAAGGACATGAATCAGTGAAAAAAAAAAACATTTAAAAAAGTACCCTTTTTAAAGGAGCAGTACTTTTTCATTGCTTAAAGTAAAAGAAAATAAATAAAAAATGCCTTTAAATATCTTGCCTGGGGGGTCCCTTTACACTACCTGCAAAGCTGCACATCTGTACAACATATAGAAACCTGCTGCAGTAGGACTGACATTTAAAAAAAAAAAAAAAAACTTGGGGTTTCCTCCCCCCTTATCTATACCAGACTTTTTAGGTCTGGTAGGAAGGTTTTTAAGGACCCCACAGTATTTTTTTTTTTTTTTAAAGTGCGTGGGGTTCCCCCTAAAAGCCGTACCAGGCCCTTCAGGCCTGGTAGGACTTTTAAGGGGAATCCCAGTCCCCAAACAATGGGGGAAAAAAGCAAAGCAAAAATTCCTACCAGACCCTTGATCCGAGCACAGGCCTGGCAGGCCGGGAAAGGGAGGGGGGATGGACGCATCCCCCCCCAGGCCTTACCAGGCCACGTGCCCTCGGCATTGGGATGGTGTCCCTATGCCGATGAGGACAAGGGCCTCTTCCCCGCAACCCTGGCTGGTGGTTGTGGGGGTCTGCAGGTGGGGGGATTTATCAGAATCTGGAAGCCCCCTTTAACAAGTATGCGGTACATGGGGGGGCTACCCATTCACAAAAAAAAAAGGTGTAGTGTAAAAATGACAGGATACAGTTTTTGACAAGTCCTTTAATAAAAACATAACAAAAAAAATGTTCCTCGAAGTAGATCCAACATCAATTACGATGCCAGCCACCACTGTTGACCCGAAAAAAAAAAAAAAAAAACACTCCACCCTCGACGCTGGCTCCCACTGTCTGACAGCTGCACTGGGATGGCAGTTATTAAATACGTTGATTATGTCATCCACTGTCCCCTTGTGACATCATCATGCCCTTTGATTGGCCAAAGCATAGCACCTGACCTGCTATGTTTTGGCCAATCACAATGCACTGTCAGGACATAGTGCATTGTGGGGCATGGTGGGCGAACAGCCCACTGTACTCCTGTGCTGTTCGTTTGTTCACAGAACACATGAACAGCCCATGTTGGAGTAAAACATGTAGACCATCACTATCCAGGAGGAGAAGACCCTAGCCTGAAAGGCTGCTGCCCTTCTGGGCAGTCTAGCTGACATCTGCAGGAGTTCATTGAGGTCCAAGCTCAGTGAAAGCTGTTGAACCTATTTTCTGTAAATAGCTGGAGCCGAATCAAGGGGATTCACATCTGGCCTGAAGATTCAAATGAGAAATATCTGGACGATATTGGATAGAGGCTTCCAAAAATATGGGACTTTGTAAGTATAGGCCTGGATGAAGGATCCTAGTGACTGCTGCTTTAACCGCTCAACCATCTGCTCCATTGCTGCTGAATTGGGACTTTTCCTTAGTCTGGAGTCCCAGTGTTGCTGTTCTTCTATTGTCTGCTAAAATGGAAATTATCCTTTAGATTGTAGACAAGGCAGAGAGTGTTCTTTGGTTTCTTGATGCATTAAATTTGGAGTATCCCAAATCCCAACTTGCACCCCAACCAAGTTCAGTAAACATTAAAGCATAAAAAGACATTCATTGCTTAGTCATTGAATTGTGAGACTGTCCAAGTTGTTTTGTGCCTAGCGGCTTGTACACCTGAATGGAAAGAGAACCTGGGGCAATTTAGAGGGGCCAAATAAGGGTCTGCACTACATGTGCTCTTAACATGCAAATTCATGTGCATTGTACTGCATTCCTATGTGCATTGTACTGCATCCCTATGTGCATTGGCATGCATTTTCATGTCACCTATTGTTTGGTAACAGAGTTTAAAAATAAAAATGTATTCTTCATATTTTCATACTTTTATTTGTGTTGCATTTATGTGCATTGCCTTGATAAATGCAGACAGGTGGCAGTTTATTGCAACAGAAAAACATGTACACAACACTGTGGTGTGAATGAGGCAGATAGAAAACAATGTTTTTTTATGTGCCCTTGCAGTGACCTGAGTTGATCTCATGCAGAAAATTGCAGGTCACTGCACATGTCCTTAGAGAATGATCATAGCCCAGAAAGATGCCAGTTACTTAACACCTTCATGACCAGAAATGTCATTGATGCGTAGATGCCCAAACCAAACTCAGCAGTGTCACTATTCACCACTCAATTGAACAATTATTCTATGACTATTTTTTTTTAATCATTTGGACATTTTTTTTTAAGGACATATAAGGATTTTTTGCCACACTCTTTTAACAAATACCCTGCTCAGTTTTATTTTGTTTTTTTATTAAAAATGTGAACTTCACACTGATGTGACTTGAGTCGTATTATTTTCAGTGATGCCCATTCACATCAATGTAACTGTGCAAATTTGAAATAGGTTCCTGTGAACTTTTGTTGCGATTTGGCTCCATAGAATATTCTAGCCACAGCTGACCTTGCATCAACATGATCGCATTGAAAGTCACATCGGAATCATGTTGCAGTAGTGGGAACCGAGCCTTATCCAATTGAGTCCTGAGTGTCATTTTAAGACGGCACATGGGCAGCAGCTGTTTCACCCAAACACTGTTTTAAAAGGCATTGAGACTCAACAGTTCTGATGGGTCATGACCGGCATCTAAGTTGTCAATGGTGGCTGTCGGTGAAAGCCAGCATCCAGCACTTAGCTCAGGTGCAGAAATGGATCAGCCCCTGGGCTTGTGATCTTGTTACACAGCTCTCCATAGGTAAAGTGACTAGATTTTTACTAGATTTTCACAGGTTTTGCTGTGGGTGGGTATAATAGTGGCATCCACAAGCCAAGACAGGTTGGACTGGGAAGACCACATAATATCAGCATGTGACATGATCAATAGCCCTGGACATAGCACGGGGCAGACATCCCTTCCCTCCTCCTGCTCCAGGCCAATCACAGAAATGTTGCTAAAATGGGTTACCCTGCAGCCATCTGGGCTGGGGATACCATTATTAAAGCTGGAAAGAAATTGGGGACACATCCTTTTAACTGGGAATGAAATTGTGGACATTTTTTCCCAGGGACAGTAACCTAAAATTGGGGACTGTCCCCAGAAACCAGGGATGTCTGGCCACTCTATGCACAGGAGCACATGTAGTAGATGACTACGGAGGAATTCACTAAGATTGAAGCAGACAGAATTTGGTGCAGTTGTGCATAGTAACCATTTGGCTTCTATCTTCAGCTTGTCCAGGTAAAGTGTTACTAAACCTACAACAGTAAAATCAGTCTGTATATGCAGTAAAACATGCTTTTTTATACTCACTGTGGAACCTAAGGATTTAATCCTCTGCATTGTGTAAAAAGGCTGATCCTGTCTTCTCTGATCCTCCCTTTCTTCTACTCTCTCCAATCCATCTCCTGAAATAACAGAGCCGTGGGTGCAAGCTGCACATGCTCAGTTTGATGTGTATTGCTAGAGAGTTTTTTTTTGTTGGGAGAGTGCATGTGATCAGCACAGGGCCAATTATCACTGTCCAGACAGAGGGTCAAGGGTAATACAGCCTCCTAGGACAAGAAGGGGAGAATGAAAACTCCTCCTACAAGCTTTAATCATTGCTCAGCTGACACTGATAGCAGTTTATGTTTACTAAAATAATTGCATTTCCATTATCTGTGGGAGACCAGATATAAGGGTCTTTGTCTTGTGAATGCAGGGTCCTGGGCAGGGGCGGACTGACCATTTGGAAACTTGGGCACTGCCCAAGAGCCCGGGGTCAGTAGGGGGCCCCATGAAATGCCCCTGGTACCTTTTTCATAGGCTTTTTTGAGTTTGGGCAAGGACACAGGGGCCCCATGATCCCCTATTGCCCGGGGGCCCCATGAGTTGTCAGTCCACCCCTGGTGCTGGGTTTAGTAACACTGTAAGCTTTGAAAATGGAAAATAGGAGCTGATTAGTTGCATGCACAACTGCCCCAGATTCTTTCTGCTCCAGTCTCAGTAAATACCCCCCTCCCCTTCGAACCAATGACCCTAGTACTGCCAGGCGGAAGTGCTAACCATTTAGCCACTGTGCTGCCCCATTGGGCTCAAATCGCAATGCATTGCACCAAATATGTGCATGCATCAAATTTGGAACTGTACCGCAACCAGATTGCATGGTTCTTTTGTACCATACGATCCGGTGCAGGTAAAATCACTGCTTTTACAACCTGCATTTGGGGTGTCTTTAACTTTGTTTTGACACATGCAGCAGATCACAAGGGCAGTGCGACTGGGATTCCGTGCAGGAAATGCTCATGGTTCAAAAGGTTTCCCTCAGCGTATTAGTGTGAATCTAGGCTGATATGCAAATAGCAAAGTACTTATACATTTGTGCACTAAGGCACAGGGGCGGACTGACCATTCGAGCACGCGGGCACTGCCCGAGGGCCCAGGGTCAGTAGGGGGCCCCATGAGATGCCCTGGTACCTTTTATAGGCTTTTTTGGGTGTGCTTTGAATGTGGGCATGGACACAGGGGCCCCATGATCCCCTATTGCCCGTGGGCCCCATGAGTTGTCAGTCCACCCCTGCTAAGGCATTAAAATGCAATATAGTATATTCAATTAATGCATAATTTAATTGATGTGTCCAAAGAAAAATGAAAAATCTGATAAGCTGAGTTGTATAGATTTTGTTTCTTTGTTTCGTTTCTCTTTGCACAACTGATAAATGTACAGATATTTCTACATTGTATGTATCACATGCTTTGTTGAGCTATAGAAATTCTATTTGGATTTAGAATCGGTTTGATACAGCTGCTGGCCTGTTCTGTGACTCTATCCAGCAGCAGTGATTTGGGTGCCATCTGGTGGCTGCATGTGACAATTGAACCTTTGGTCAGTGCATTTGATTCAGTATCAGCCTGGTTCAATCATTAGGGTAGATAGAATGTAATGGGCAGTCCTCTACATACAGAACAAGAATACATCCTCTGCAAAGGACAAATGTCATTGCTGCATTATAATTAAGGTCTAATGGTATTGTGCTTTCAGCATGTACACATCTTGATTTATTATTGTAATGGTAATCTGAAAGTCATTTTAAAGCTTAATTCTCAAAATTCACTAAATTAATAAAATGCAATCCCCCATTCTTCCCCAGAGCAAGTATGCAGAATAGGCATTCTGACCTGACTCTGACTTGCTGTATGCTTGTCCTGGCTCAATAACAAGAGAGTATTCAAGCCAGAGACAGCCAGGCAGTTTGCATTTTCTGAAGAAGGTCAGCAATGACAGCCTGTGTATTTCAAGAGATAACAGTGCATTTAGTTCCCGTGTACTGGTAGTGCTGGATTGATCCAGAAATATTTAGAATAAAGGTGAATAAAGCACCTGGACCGGATGGCATACACCTACGGGTTTTTAACCTCTTCACGTTGGCAGAACGCAAATGTGCGGCCTCCCAGAGTCTGAGCCTAGATGCCGGGCAGCCACACATTTGCGTTCTATTAAAAAAGAACATATGTGCTGAGAGTGCGCACCCTGCGCGCTCCCAGCACACGTCTGGTACTCACGGAAAGGTCCCGATCTCCTCTTTCGATCAGGACCTTTCCCGATCATGTGACCGCCATGATGGCGCATCATGGCGGTCACATGACCTTAAACCCCGCCCCACCTCCTACCTTCTGAAACTCTTAAAGGGCCGGGAGGTGCCGGTGCGAAGGGGTTAAAGAATTGAGCTCTGTCATTTCAAAGCCATTGTTTATAATTTTTAGGAACTCTTTAATAACTGGCATAGTACCACTGGATTGGCGAAAAGCCAATGTGGTGCTAATATTTAAAAAGAGGGCAAAATCTTTACCAAGTAGTTATAGACCTGTTAGTTTAACTTCTATAGTTGGAAAGGTACTGGAGAGTTTAATAAAAGACCCCATAGATGAGTTCTTGCTGGAAAAAAATATTTTAAGCAACAGACAGCATGGATTCATGAAAGACAAAAGTTGTTAAACAAATCTGATTTCTTTTTATGAGGAGGTGAGGAAAACCTTGGACAGAGGGGTGGCTGTGGACGTGATAAACTTGGATTTTGCAAAAGCATTTGGCACAGTTCCCCACACATGGCTAATGTGTAACATAAAGTCTACGGGCTTGGAAAAATCCATATGTAAATGGATAGATAACTGGCTAAAAGATCGTATTCAGAGAGTAGTGGTTAATGATTCATACTCTGAATGGTCTAGGGTTGTCAGTGGTGTACCCCAAGGTTCAGTGTTGGGATTCTTACTTTTTAATATATTTATAAACAATATAGGGTCTGGGATTAAAAATCCCATTTCAGGGTTTGCAGATGACACCAAGCTGTGCAGTGGAATAATGTCCTTACAGGATGTCTTCAACTTACAAGCCGACCTCAATGCACTGTTTAATTGGGCAACTATGTGGAAAATGAGGTTTAATGTTGATATATATAAGTTTATGCACTTGGGGGCTAAGAATATGCATGCATCATACATACTGGGGGGGGGGGTACAACTGGGGGGGGGATCAATGGTGGAGAAGGATCTGGGAGTTCTGGTAGATCATAAGCTTAATAATGGCATGCAATGCCAAGCTGCAGTTTCTAAAGTGAGCAAAATCCTTTCTTGTAATAAAAGAGGTATAGACTCCAGAGAGAGAGATATCATATTACCCCTGTACAAATCATTAGTAAGACCTCATCTGGAATATGCAGTTCAGTTTTGGGCACCAATTCACAAAAAGAACATTGGGGAAATGGAGAAAGTACAGAGAAGGGCAACCAAACTGATAAGAGGCATGGAGGAGCTCTGGCACTGGTACATAAAAAGGGACAAACTACACATTAGTCTGACCAGGGCTTTTTTTCTCATAGGTGCAGGCGCTTCCCCCCTTCTTAGTCACCCTTGTCTCCGCCCCCTACCCACCTCCGAGCACCTTTCCTTGGGTCCACCCCCTACATACCTCTTAGTACCACCCATTTTAGAGAATGCATAACCCAGTTTCATTTTGTGGTGCTAAGTAATTTGCATGGAATTTATTAATGAAAACAAGCAAAGCAGTCAAATAGATCCACTGCAGTCAGCAACAAAAGACCCCCAAGCAATAATAGATCCCCTGGCAACTATACCCCCAGGAACAATAGATCCCCGAGCAACAAAAGGCCCTCATAGTAACAATAGACCCCCCAGGAAAAATAGATCCCCCACACAATAATAGATCCTCCCCCATCAACAATGGAGCCCCCTAAACAAAATATTACCCAAGCAAAATTAGATCCACTCCAGCAACAATAAACTCCAGACAGCCAGCATCAATAGATCCTCCAGCAGCAAGCACCAATACATCCCTCACTCAGATCCCTCCCAGCAACAATTGACCCCCCGAACAAGACAAGACATCCCAGCAACAACAGACCTCCACGGCAACAATAGACCCACATGTAAAAACATATCCCCCAGCAATCAGCATAAATAGACCCTCCAGCACAGCCCAGCACCCCTTGCCATTACATACATAAAGTGCTGGAGGTTGCAGAACTGCATTCCCCTGTGTTCCCACTGAAAAAAAGCCTATTTAGCTATATAATATGTAGTATATACATAGCCCCTGATTGTGCTCAATTTGGAGGGACTGCCCCTCTTCAGGAACCAATTGCCTTTTTTTACTGTGTCATCCCTCTTTTTGTTCCCTCTACCACAATGGTGCATTTAACTATGAAAATAATTTTATTACAATAATCTTTTCATCAAACCTCTGAATAATTGCCTTTATTATGAAAGGCAGTATAAGGTACCATGCACATGGGTGGCTACCAGCAAGATCGGTGATTGCCACATTTGATGAATATAAAATTGGATACAGATCAAACTTGTACAGGAAAAACACAATGTATGCAATTAATGTATGAGCTGAAATATAAGCAAGATTGTAAGGGATAATATGGGTATATATTATACTCAAGAGTGTGTATATATGTCTATAATCATTTGTATTATAAACGTCTGATTGACATTAACATATACGGAGGTACTTGGAAAATTAGAGTTTATGTTAACATTAACATAACATTAACTCTAATTTTCCAAGTATCTCTTTATATGTTAATGTCAATCATATCTGCATACATTGTGTTTTTTTCTGTACATAGCTCAATCTGTATCCAATTTTATATTCACCAAATGTGGCTACCAGATCTATGTACATATGATATATTTTATAGTATTGTTTATACTTTTTTATAACTTTTTTATTATGTTTGCTTATTCTTATATTTTGTTATATATAAATTGCTATATGTACCTTTTCTCTACACTTTGTTTTGTTTGTTAGCCCTGAAGAAGGGGGAGTCTATTCCCCAAAACGCATTGGATTGATGTACTTGTTGCTACTTTTTAAGAAACATCTATAAACCATACTTCAGAGGTTGCATTTCTCTGGACACTAGGAACTCCTATCTTCTTATCCAAGTCTACATGTTGAAACAACCATAAAGTCACACAAAAAAGGAAGCAACCCAATCCCCACGATGGTCCATCACCACCATCCATCACTGAGCACTATCCACCAGAAGGAAT